TACATAAAAGGATGGGGCAGTAAACTGGTTAATGAACGTATACTGGAAATTCTTGGTGGTCAAAATGCTAAGCTGGCCGTGGAAAAATGGGACGTCTTTTACAGAAAAGAAGAACCTGAGGGAACTTTATTTGTAATAGGTATCGACCAGAAATCTATGGCTAGTCTTGCCAAGAATAAAGGTAGGGCTTATTTCGCCTCTAAAGCTGTCATATTCAAAATTGGGAAGGTGCCGATTGGAAGGGCTGTTACAACAAGCCTCGAAAAGGACACTAAAATACCTAAGACCACAGCATCAGTAGCAACTACTGATAACGTAAAGAAGTCAAATCCTAAATGCGAGGAAGATACCACTAACTCGCCAAAAGAAGGTGCAGCTGCCCTTTCCAAAGTTGGGGAGGTGCCGATTGAAATGGATGTCAAAACCGGCCCCGATATGGACACTAAAACACCTAAGACGGTACCCAAAGCATCATTAGCAAGTACTGGTAATTTTGAGGATTCAAATCCTAAAAACGAGGAGGAAATCACTCACTCGCCAGAAGACAGAACAGCAGTGCTGTCCAAAATTGGAAAGTTTCGATTAAAAAGACTGCTCTTCCTATGCCTAATAAGGCCACCGCAGTGCCATCAATAGTACCCACTGCATCAATAGCCACTTCAGGTTACCCGGAGGAGTCAAATCCAACGAGCGGGGATGTGATCACTAGCTCGCTGGAAGACAGTTTAAATGGATGACAATGATTGAGGTTATCCAAATAAACCTCCATCGGAGCGAGACAGCTACCAACGCTCTGATGGCTAAAATTAACACAGGTAAGATACATATAGCTTTAATCCAGGAACCTTGGACGATTCGCAACAAGGTTTCTGGATTAAATCACGTAAATTTCCAACTTTTCTACGCTGATACAGGGTCTCGACCGAGAACATGTATCTTATGTCACAAGAATTTATGTTTTGTCCTCTCAACAGGATTATCCACATCGGATGCAACGGTACTGAAGCAAGGTCGTGGCAACATATACCTTGCATCTGTTTACCTGCCTTTCGATTCTCCGACACTACCACCAACTTCGGAGCTGATGAAATTGGTCGAAGAGGCACAAAGGCAAAATAAGAAACTTGTAATAGGTTGTGATGCCAACTCCCACCATGTAGCTTGGGGTAGTACAAACACCAATCGCAGGGGACAAGCCCTTATGGATTTCCTTAATACTAAAGACTTGATCACATCGAACTTAGGTAATAAAGCTACCTTCGTCAATAGAATCAGAGAAGAAGTATTAGATATAACTATATGTTCAGAATAGCTTATAAACGAAATTCATGATTGGAGAGTTTCGGACGAGCACTCCTTTTCTGACCATCGGTACATAAGATTCAAAATACTACGGCCGCCACCAAAGCCGATAAAGTTTCGGAATAAGTCTAAAACTAATTGGACAATGTTCGGTTCCTTAGTAAAGAACCGTTTATGTCAGAACACTTTTCAATGTCGAAATAAAGAGGACATAGACGCCAAAGTAGAAATGCTCACAAGAGCCTTGGTTGAATCGTTCGAGGACAGCTGCCCTCTGCGAGAGCGGAGATCTGCTCAGGAAAAACCCTGGGTAACCGGGGAGATCCGGAACCTTGGTAAGACTCTTCGCAAACTATTTGACAGGGCAATGCGTAAAAAGACCGCAGTATACTGGGATGAGTATCGTAGTAAACTTGGTGAATATAAGAAAATTGTTCGTAAAGCCAAACGAGACTCCTGGAAACTTTTCTGTGAACAGGTAGACAGCGTAAATGATGTATCGAAGATAAAAAAATTCCTGTCCAAAACTCATGTCCAACCAGAATCTATGGTCGATGATACGGGCAGGATGTTGGAGGATATGGAGGAGACAATAAAACTCCTAATGGACTCTCATTTTCCACCCGGTATATCGAATAACATAGATGAACCGATATTGGAGGAAGGGGAGGCTAACACGGAAATTGTAATTACATCTGATATGGTTAAAGGGGCAATCAAGAGCTTCGCTCCCTATAAAGCTGCAGGACCGGATGGCATTTTCACGGCACTCTTAGAGATGGAGGCGGGACTGGTTTCCGTATATCTGTCTCAGATATTCACTGCATGCTTGAAATTCACATATACCCCCATTAAATGGCAGGATGCAAGGGTAATATTTATACCTAAACCAGGGAAACGTAGCTATTCGACACCTTAGTCTTATCGACCGATAAGTCTTACGTCCTTCCTACTTAAAACTTTGGAACGGATAGTTGATAGTATGGTGAAAAGCGGTATACCCGACAAAGACCTTAAATATAAGCAGCATGCTTATGTAAAGGGACGATCGGTGGAAACCGCTTTAAACGAAGTTGTTCACTACATAGATGCATCCTTCGATAGCAAACTGTATACACTGGCGGTATGCATTGACATCGAAGGCGCCTTCCATAACGTGCACACTGATACCCTTATCCAATCCCTAGACCAGTTTTATGTTGACCGGGTGCTCCGTAACTGAATCAACCACATGCTAAGGAACAGATGGATAAGCTGCGAGATGTACGATATAACTATCAGGAAAAAGTTATTTCGCGGTATACCACAGGGTGGCATTTTGTCATCTTTACTCTGGGTTACCACGATTAATAGCCTCCTAAGGACCCTAACTGAGAAAGGACTTAGACCTGTCTGCTATGCAGACGATGTCGTAATACTTTTAAAGGGAAAGGATCCAAATTACTTGTGTAGAAGAGCTGAGGTGAATACGGCCTTGAGCTGGGCTCAACCGAGAGGCCTCAATGTTAACCCGGCAAAAACGGAAATCTGTCTTTTCACAAGAAAGACAAAAATTTCTACATATACTGAACCTTGCTTTCTAGGCAAGAAGATACCAGTGACAGACAAAGTTAAGTACTTAGGTGTAATCCTCGATGATACCACATAGAGGATAGGATCAACAAGGCGCATCGGTGCTGGGCGATATGTAGGAGAACTATAGGCATGAAATGGGGTCTTAGTCCTACTATGACAAATTGGCTTTATAAAAGTGTAATTAGACCAATTCTAGCTTATCCTTCAATAATCTGGTGGACTGCCTTAGACAAAAAGTGCAATATCAAACTACTACAGGGAGTTAAGCGTACATGCTGCTTGGGTATAAGTGGTGCCATGTGTACTACTTCTACCAAGGCTCTGGAAACGTTGCTAGATATTCCACATATTGAAACATATTTAAGATATGAGGCAGCGCTTACAGCCGAACGGCTCTTTACTTTAGGCGAACTGGCCAAAAGCGGTTATAGGACACGTCATCAATGTATACTGGACACATTGGAAGGTTATACACAATCATCGGATGTGCCTGATCGTATACCAGACACAGAATATGTCGGAAACTTTGAAACGCTGATCCCTGATAGAATCTCTTGGTCAAGCGGAACATTAGAACAAATACCATTAGGAAGCCGTTGTTACACTGATGGCTCTAAATTGGGGGACAAAGTGGGCCTGGGTTTCTATATTGAAGACCCAGAAACAGAAATATATCACCGTTTACCAAATCATAACACAAGCTTCCAGGCAGAAGTACGAGCAATAACGGAATGCGTAAATTGGATTAGAATAAATATGGCGCCCACAGCGCTTAATATATTTACCGACAGCCAGAAGGCAATTAGGGCGATATCAGGCGATAGAACTAAATCTAAGACCGTATTGGATTGTAAGAAAGCTTTAACTGAATACTCTACCAGAGGTAAGGTTCACATCATATGGGTACCAGGCCACTCGGGAGTAATCGGCAACGAAAGGGCGAATGTAATAGCTTTAAAGGGAAGGGAGCTCGAGGCAGTTAACCTGACAAACGCAAAACCATTCGACGCAACAAAAGCTGAACTAAAAATATGGGTGAGAGAATCCCATAAGGCCTCTTGGAATAATGAAACAGTGGGTAGAACCACGAAGATCCTATGGGGTGACCCTGATGAGAGCAAGACGAAAAATCTCCTCAAAATGAGCAAGTCTGAAGTTAGTATGATGGTACGTATTCTGAGTGGACACACATGACTACGAGCACATCTATGCAAAATTGGACGTGCGGATTCAGACGAATGTAGAGCATGTGGAGAGGACAGTGAAACTCTGGAGCACTTTCTTTGCCACCGCCAGGCATTCGTCGAAGTTAGATCCATGTATCTTGGAAGTGATGTTATTCCGGAAATAACATTCCTGACTAACACTGATTGGAAGATTCTTAGGAATTACGTTCAGGAAACTGAGTTTCTGAACACTGAAAAATAATTCTTTCAGTTTTTTTTTATGATAAGGAGTAATATTGTAATAAGTAATTCCGTTAATCTTAAATGCACTCATAGAGATAAAAATGCAAGAGCGGTAAGAATGATGTATGTATGATGTAAGTGTGAACAGACACACATCACAATTACGTCATTAACTGGTCAACAGAATAAATATTAAATATTGATTCTCTTGACTATTGCATTTAAAATATACTACGATCAATTTGAGTAGGTACACTAATTAAATTTAATTAATAAGATTAGAATAAATATAATAAGTATTTGTGTTGGAAAGAATTAATTTTTGACAACATTCTCCCCCCTTAAGAACGAATGTTTTTAAAGTGGGATGATTTTAATTCGAGGACGGCCTATAGATGGGAGTAATTTTAGTCTAGTTATGAAACTCCGCTATACTCCGACTCACAGCGTATTACAGTAGGCTCCATCCTCCTTCAATTTCATTACTTGTGCGAGTTGTTTTTAACGGTACAATCTGGTGATTTGTCTGGAAGAAAAGAAATCTTTGATATTGGTCGTTTCATTACTTTATTTTTAGTTTGAACAGATACCACCCTTATTAGCCCATCAGAACCTGGATGAACATCTTTGATACGACCAAGTAGCCATTGTCCTGGACCGCATCTTTCATCAGCAATGAGCACTAATTCTCCAATCCTAGGATTGCATTGATCTTTAACCATTTCGGGATTGATCTTTAAGATATTCTCTATACCACCTTTTCCAGAAATGTTGTTTTAATAATTCTACGGATTTCCAGCGAGTAAGATGATTGATGTTTTGATCAAGCAATGTCTCCTTTTGGACACATTGTAATGGTTCTCCTACAAGAAGGTGCGCAGGGGTAAGCGCATCAAAATCGGAAGGGTCTGAGGATAGAGGGCATAATGGCCGAGAGTTTAAACAACTTTCAATTTGGCAAAGCAGAGTTGCCAGTTCCTCAAAGCTTAAAAGTCTATTATTCGTGATACGTTTTAAGTGGTGTTTTACCGATTTTACACCAGCCTCCCATAAACCACCAAAATTTGGTGAGGCTGGTGGAATGAAGTGCCAGTTAGTACAGTTTAAACTTAATGCCTGGCGCAAATCATTTGGCAAAGATTTTATATTTCGGTTGTATAGAATTTGGAGTTCCTTTGAAGCTACTCCAAAATTTGTCCCGCAATCTGAATAGATATCGGAGCACGCTCCTCGTCGGGACTCAAAACGTTTAAATGCAGCCAGAAAAGCATTTGTAGAAAGGTCTGAAACAGCTTCCAGGTGTATGGCCTTTGTGACCATGCACACAAATAAACATATGTAACCTTTGGAAATCACTGCGGATCTTAATGTTGAGTTCTTAAGTGTTATTGGACCTGCATAGTCAACACCACTATGCTTAAAGGGTCTTGTAACATTTAGACGAACATATGGTAAATTACCCATAACTTGTTGTGAAGTTTTAGCTGAATATCTAAAACATTTGGATTTTGCCAATTGGTTTCCAGAAACAATCCAAAATTTACGATTCCCAACAGACATGGTAAGTGTAATACCACCAGGCAAAGTTCTCTCGTGTGAGTCTTTGATTATATACTCTGAGAGTGGATTCGATGTAGCTAATACTATTGGATGCTTTACATTGTAACTCAAAGTAGAGGTTTGTAAGCGACCTCCAACTCTAATTATACCCTTTTCATCGAGAAATGGCATAAGCTTAAGTAAAAAACTTTGTTTTATATCACGATTTGTAGAGAGTAGCTTTATTTCATTTGGAAAATCAACTAATTGTGTCAGTTTAATCAATATTAGCAAAGTTTCGTTTATTTCCGATATTCTTAGGAAGCTAGTCCGTTTTAATTTAGGATTTTTACAATTGTAAATAAAACGAAAACACAAAGTAATAGTTCGAAGTAAAGTTCTCAATGTAGAAAATCTAAAAAGTATTTCGGGGTATTCCCTTTTGCTACACGTATTGCTAGAACATTTAGTCAATATTTGCTCTTCAGATGTATGTAAATTTGAAAGGCCCTTTGGCCAAAAGGATAAAGGTTTATAAAGAAATTGTGGGCCAAACCACCATGTTTGATCATCAACTAAATCCTCTGGAAAAACTCCCCTAGAAGCGCAATCTGCCGGATTCAAAACTGATGGGACATATCTCCACTGATCTGTATTACTCAATCTTTGTATATCCGCAACTCTATTTGCAACGTATACAGTCCAAGAGGAAGGAGGTCTTTGAGTCCAACTTAAAACAGTTGAACTAGCACTCCAATAATAAATATTATCAATGTTCATATCTGCCAACGCTTCTTTCACAGATTGAGCCAACTTGACTAAAAGATTGGCAGCGCACAGTTCCAATCTCGGTATAGAAATAGTTTTGATTGGTGATACTTTTGATTTTGCCTGTAAAATGTTCACAAATATACCATTAGGATTGATAATTCTTGAATAAATATCAGCCGCATATGCTGCAGTTGATGCATCACTGAAGCAATGCAATTCTATTTTAGATTCTCTCGACCAACGAATCCATCGAGGAATTTTCAATTTGGCAAGTTGTGGCAATGATGATTTATATTTAAGCCAGCGTTTCCGATGGTATTTGCTCATTCCAGTCCAACCCATGTTCCCACAATTGCTTAAAGATTAATTTCGACACTAAAGTAGATGGTGTTAGCCATCCTAAAGGATCATATAGTCTAGCGGATTCAGATAATATTGACCTTTTGGTAACAGAAATGGTATCCTCAATATTGACTCTAAATGAAAACGAATCGTTAAGAGTATTCCACTGTATACCAAGAGTCTTAACGACATTGTCTCTGTCAAATTTCAAAGTAACAGATTGTTCCCTGCATTCTTCAGGAATTGTTTGTAAAAGCTCATTCGAATTAGTAATCCACTTGCAAAGATTACAACCACCTTTTTTAAGAAGAGTACATAGTTCTGTTTGCAAATTAATGGCATTTTCGATATTATCTGATCCTGAAATAATATCATAGACATAAGTGTCAGATATTATAATGTTAGAAGCTTCAGGAAATTCGTGCTCAAAATCATGTGCGAGTTTTTGTAATACACGAATAGCCAAATAAGGCGCCGATGTGGTGCCATATGTCACAGTACACCGTGGGGCAGAATGGAAATTTTTTGGAAATAAATCTGGCATTTCTAAACGGCTGATCCGATCGAGATAAAATTTGGCGTGAGCGTAGCCAAGGAGTATTCGAGTTTAAGTTTTGAAGATGAACCCTGCAGATGCCCCAGGGACGGCGCTGTGCCGACTCAAAGTAGGGTACCTACGACATGTAAAATTTTTAAACTCGTGCCATTTTTTTGGTTTTCACCCAAATACAAAGATTTTTATATTTTCTGAAAGCGCTCGACGAGATCTTGAAAAAACATGCTCGGACATACTACTTATCTCTTATAATATCCGAGTTATAGGCATTTAAAAATTTAGTGATACAAAATTTACCATACCTTGGTCCGCCTTTTTTTGAATACCGGGCGTAATTTTGGACCAAATGGACTCAATTTTTTCTTGTTAGTTAGACAACAAAATTTCCAATAATATACAAAAAATTTCAGATCAATATCGTTTACAGATCCAAAAATATACGTTTTTTAATTTAAAAATTCAAAAAATTTTAGATTTTTGCCGTTTTTTTGCTAAAAATGTGTCCTAACTCTTTTATTAATAAAATAAAATTTTCTTTAAGAACATATAACAATTTTATAGTTTTCTAAAAGGTATCTTTACGCAGAATGCTTTGGCGTAAAAAACTTGTCCTATTTTTTGAAAATGTTGCCACTGCGTCTTTCCGAATATGACCTATTTTTTATCAAAACTTCAACTTTGGGCGACATGTTCTAAAATCCCAAAGCTGGGATCAGAAAACTGAAAGCAGTTTTGGAAACCTCAATATGTTTTCTATTTACTCCAAAAGTATTTTCCCAGCCCTGAAAGAAATGTGGACCCTATGGGCAAAAAAGTAAAAAATCCCATTTTTGGGATTTTCATTCCTATTTTTTGGGAATTGCGGGATGCCCTTTGACCTTTTCAATTTTTATTATTTGAAATGACAAATTTAACAAGCGTTGAAAATTTCATTGAGTTTTGTTCATAAATAAAGATTTTGTCATATATTACATATTTGTTTAATTTCTAAAACTATGATTTATATCAAAATTTTAATAGGGTCGCAGATAGCTACAACAATTTAGTCCATATTTATCCCTTAATATCATTTTTTAGTTAGATATGGAAATTCTCGACCCTTTACAAAAAAATTTCAAGCCAATATCTCAATTACATTCAAAAATATGTTCATTTAAACCTGTGTCCTTTAATTTCATCTTTTTCATATTTTAGTATTAAGTATGACAGAACATATTTAAATCTTATATTTACCTATTTTCTATTTGTTTGTTTATCCTTAAATTTTCAAAAATGTATAACTATTTTTTACCTAAATTTTTTCGACAGATTATTTCGTTCTGTTTCGTTTATGATCATGTTGGTAAAAGTATACAGGTAATGATAATTTCGATTCATTCACTAATAAGAAATATCAATGACTGAATTACAGGTTATAGTAATATAGTCCTAAATGTTAATAGGTAGACAATTCGTAATTATTTACTTTGGAATACCTGTATCGGAAATGACAAGAATTGGTATATAAGTAAACTTCTTAGATTTTAAGTACCATATTTAATAAATCTACAATGAAGATTACATTAAAGTACGAAGAGTTGTGTTCCGTTTAATGGAGTGTATCTTCAAAAGGGCCAGAAAGAATTGAAGACATTTCAGATTATATAAAAACTACATATAGTAGAAAAGTAGACAAAACAGGCATATCAAAAATTGAAAACTTTTTAAAACTTTTTGATGTAAAAAGTAAGTCTGTGGATGGAAATCAAAAGAAATTTCGATTAAAATTTTGTAGTTGGATGGAAACTACTACGGAAATCTCAACTTACAACACATCAACAGGAGCGCCTTGCAAGTCATACGAAGACTTATGTTCAAGGTCAAAAAAAAAGAGGGTCACACAAAAACTTTTTTCAATCTCAAATGAGGAAATTGCTGATACATTTAACGAAATGCTGAAAAAGGAAAACCAACCTATGGATGCCGTACATATTGCAACTATTCTTCCTAATGCATCACCAAAACGACTTAAGCGAATTGTGGAAAGTATACCACCTCCAACATCACAATCAAATTTTACTGAAGAGGAAGCAATAGCGCTTATGTTGGAACTGGGTCTCAGTCGAAATAAGTACCAAATATTAAGGAAAGCTCTGCATGAAAAAGGACACAATATATTACCATCATACATCATTCGAGATTTTAAGCATGTTCAACTATTCAGCTCAAGAAGATGCTCCAGGCAATCACAGAATGAAGATATTTTTAATAGTTTACTTCTATCTTCTGATCCTGTTCTTTCAACTATGCGAAAAAGATGGATTTGTTATGAAACTCTATCATCTCAAAACAAGGAAGATTTAAAGGACTTATATTACCTTCTGGATATGTATACCGATATGACAGATTATTTTATAGAAAATAAGTAGTGTTAGGAATTAACTATATAAGTAGGTTGTAAGAATTAATTGTATTATGTTCAAGATAAACAGTTCAAATAAAAATAGCTATTATACTAACTGATGATATTGAATTAAATTGTGTTTTATGTTTCGGTGGGCGGGAAAGGTGGTTTGTGTGGGGTGATTTAGGTGTTGTTGTGCGTGGCTCATAATAAAATTATAATTTTTTTATTGTATATACAATGTTATAGTCTTTAATAAAATAATTAACTAAATAATTTTTAAAAATTGTCCAAATATTTTATTCAACACCAAATGTATGTTCTGTCATACTTAATACTAAAATATGAAAAAGATGAAATTAAAGGACACAGGTTTAAATGAACATATTTTTGAATGTAATTGAGATATTGGCTTGAAATTTTTTGTAAAGGGTCGAGAATTTCCATATCTAACTAAAAAATGATATTAAGGGATAAATATGGACTAAATTGTTGTAGCTATCTGCGACCCTATTAAAATTTTGATATAAATCATAGTTTTAGAAATTAAACAAATATGTAATATATGACAAAATCTTTATTTATGAACAAAACTCAATGAAATTTTCAACGCTTGTTAAATTTGTCATTTCAAATAAGAATATGCATAAGAATATGAAGGTCAAAGGGCATCCCGCAATTCCCAAAAATAGGAATGAAAATCCCAAAAATGGGATTTTTTACTTTTTTGCCCATAGGGTCCACATTTCTTTCAGGGCTGGGAAAATACTTTTGGAGTAAATAGAAAACATATTGAGGTTTCCAAAACTGCTTTCAGTTTTCTGATCCCAGCTTTGGGATTTTAGAACATGTCGCCCAAAGTTGAAGTTTTGATAAAAAATAGGTCATATTCGGAAGGACGCAGTGGCAACATTTTCAAAAAATAGGACAAGTTTTTTACGCCAAAGCATTCTGCGTAAAGATACCTTTTAGAAAACTATAAAATTGTTATATGTTCTTAAAGAAAATTTTATTTTATTAATAAAAGAGTTAGGACACATTTTTGGCAAAAAAACGCCAAAAATCTAAAATTTTTTGAATTTTTAAATTAAAAAACGTATATTTTTGGATCTGTAAATGATATTGATCTGAAATTTTTTGTATATTATTGGAAATTTTGTTGTCTAACTAACAACATTTGGTCCAAAATTACGCCCGGTATTCAAAAAAAGGCGGACCAAGGTATGGTAAATTTTGTATCACTAAATTTTTAAATGCCTATAACTCGGATATTATAAGAGATAAGTAGTATGTCCGAGCATGTTTTTTCAAGATCTCGTCGAGCGCTTTCAGAAAATATAAAAATCTTTGTATTGTATAAAAACAAAAAAATGGCACGAGTTTAAAAATTTTACATGTCGTAGGTACCCTACTTTGAGCCGCCACAGCGCCGTCCCTGGGGCATCTGCAGGGTTCATCTTCAAAACTTAAACTCGAATACTCCTTGGCTACGCTCACGCCAAATTTTATCCCGATCGGATCAGCCGTTTTGAAATGCCAGATTTATTTCCAAAAGATTTCCATTCTGCCCCACTGTGCAGTATTTAACTCATAAATGGATATGTCATCAATTGGACTATTGCGCCAAAGAATTTGCTGAAACCTTTGATGTTCCGGACAAACATCTATCTGTCGGAAAATCTTTTCAATGTCAGCACTAAATGCTATTTTATGTTTTCTCCATTTAGTTATGACATTAGGAAGTTTGTTTTGAAGTGCTGGACCAGGTGAGAGTTCCTCATTAAGAGACTTGCAATTATTTAAATGACAACTTCCGTCAAAAACAACTCTCAATTTGGTCGTTGTGCTGTTCTCCTTAAAGACACCATGATGAGGCAAAAAATAAGAATTCTGGCGAATATTTTTAGGATATTTTCCAATTTTCGTCATATGTTCCAATGACTCATACTCTTGCATGAAATTCTTGTAACTTGGGACGTTTAGAAAATGAAATCTCTAATTGTCCCGTTTGTTGTCGTTTGAAAGCACCCATGACATTGTTTTGAATATTTGGTTCAGTAT